TGGTTAGTCTCTTTCCCTATACGCTTAAGACACTTTTAAGTACTAGCACTAGCAGTAGGCTCATTTCTGTGCAAATTCAGTAGTTTAATCTCTACTTCCCCTTGCCATGCATTAGGCTCATTTCAGCTTCACAGTCTAGCATGGATCCATATTGGCGCATTGCTCCAGTCAGCTCAGACTGCCACCAAATGCTCAGTTTAAAATGAAAGAAAGCGAAGCTGACACTCATTACCGTTCAGGACAAGAGATCCTCAACACATCCACCTAGGGCACGTCCTATAGTTGTCTTCTCTGCTTTTAGTGAAAGTTATACTACAATCTTGAAAGTATTAATTAGGCTCATATGGTCTCCCAGCCACTTGTGCTTTTGAGTTTTGACCCTACCAGACCTACCTTTTGCTATATATCATCCTGGGTAGCTTCATCCTTCTGCCGTGCCATCAAACAAAACCTGACTATGTTGATTGCTTCTATTAGATTTTTTTGAGGGGTGCTTCTATTGGAAGTACACTACTTGTGCTGATAGAAGTAGTTCCATCAAATTAATTTAAATCGTATTCCTGCTCCCCGACTACCTGTATTTACCTAAGTGTCCATTTACATTTCACAGTGCACTATATTTTGGAATATGAACTGAGCTATCCACAACATCACATGTCTAGATTTATTACTAATGAAATGAATTAATAAAAGAAAGAGGCGTCTTAGGAAAGCTTTCCTCACCCTACACCCTTTCCAAGTATATTATTCAGTTTGCAAGTGAACTAACCTTCTCCTTCAGTACACCTAAGCTTTCCTGCATTTTTTTCCAGAGCATATAAATGGCAAGCCAGCTCTAGATTGGTCAAGGAGAAAGATGATTGCACTGGGTACAGCACGAGGGCTGCTTTATTTGCACGAACAGTGTGATCCAAAAATAATCCATCGCGATGTCAAAGCCTCCAATGTGCTTCTTGATGAATATTTCGAAGCAATTGTGGGGGATTTTGGATTGGCAAAACTTTTGGATCACCAGGAGACCCATGTTACCACAGCAGTGCGTGGTACCGTGGGGCACATAGCTCCAGAGTATTTGTCAACTGGGCAGTCATCGGAGAAGACAGATGTGTTTGGGTTTGGAGTCCTGTTGGTTGAGTTGATCACTGGCCAGAAAGCATTAGATTTTGGAAGACTAGCAAATCAGAAGGGCGGAGTGCTTGATTTGGTAAGCATGTTATATCGTGTTCTTTCCATGCAATGGTCTCAAGTTCACTTTATTACTTTATGTGAAAAGAGCGCTTTCTCCTTATGAGTGGACTTTGTTCGGTTCTTGCCTTTAGTTTAGTCACTTCGGAGCTTTTCGACAACTCTGTATGTCGCTTTTAGGTCCTTTCGCGCCTTTTACATTGAGTACACTCGAGATGCTGAAGCATATTTTCATAGTGAAAAACAGAAGGTGCAAAAATGATGCCATCCCTATTAGTTTATATGGTATTCATTTCTGTTAATCGTTTATCATAGTGTCAGCATATTAACTACTCCCTCTGTAAACTAATGTAAGATCTTTTAGATCACTACTTTAGTTTACAGAGGGAGTAATTATTAACCATCAGTTACCATCTTCTATTTAGAGTTCAGACTTCAGACCACTCGTCAAAAAAGGTATTCAAGGGTAGTATCTCTTCTTAGTAGTGTATACATTTTGAAGGGTGCCAATACAGAGAAATATGTCTTGCCGGACCACCTAGGTCTCTTCTTTGTGTTCTTTGTAGGGGTGTCGATACGAAGAGATATTTCACGGTTGGAGTTTGGAGGAAATGGGTCTTATTTCTGATACTTCTCATGTGGTGGTTCCAGGTAAAGAAGCTCCATCAAGAAAAGCAGCTGAACATGATGGTGGACAAAGACCTGGGCAGCAACTACGACAGGGTGGAGCTGGAGGAGATGGTGCAGGTGGCTCTGCTGTGCACCCAGTACTACCCGTCCCACCGCCCCAGAATGTCGGAGGTGATCCGGATGCTGGAAGGGGACGGGCTCGCGGAGAAATGGGAGGCGTCGCAGAACGTGGACACTCCAAAGTCCGTCTCGTCGGAGCTCCTGCCCCTGAAGTTCACCGATTTCGCCGGGGTGGATGAGTCCTCGGTCGGCCTCGAGGCCATGGAGCTCTCCGGACCAAGGTGACCGTCGACGGTGACCGATTTGATCGCGCAGATGCTTGCTTGTGTCTCAATGGCCATTGCATTCGATTAGCTTCGGAGAGCCTGGGCAAAGGGAGAGGTGACATTTTTTTTCCATGTGGGTTAGGGTAAGGGTAGGGGTGGTGGCATTCATTTGTACATACGGGCATGGTGATTGTGTATTGCGTGAGCTGAGCTCGGCCCATCGTTGCTGCTCATGTACATGTAGGTTAAGAGAGGAGAAGAGATGAGATGAGTTGAGTAAATATAGAAAGGAATTTTTCCATTAGTCAGATATATCCTGTGTCTTTCCTCTTCTTTGTCAGGCCTTGCACATGATTGTTAGTATCTTACTGCTCTGTTTGAAAGCTGTTCATTTTTGACGTCTGAACTTTCGCTGGAATCCCACACATTTTGGTTCTAAAAACTTTGAAGCCATCAGAGACCGAACCCTGACGCGGCGTTTCTAAAACTGACGGAATGGTTGCGAGGCCGAAACGGATCTTTTTTCTTCCTCCTGATTCGCCTTGCAATGCACAAAGAAAGTGCTGTACTATTTGTAAAACTAGGTGATTTCCTCACGCGTTGCTGTGGGATTTTAAAGATTGATTTTGAAAAAAATTGTAATGAATGAAATGACCTAAATCAAAAGCTATTATTATCAGAACTGTGTGACACAAAGAGTATGCATGTACAATGGACCATTAGAAATGGAACAATTAAACTATTTAGGCATTATTTGGTGATATGGAGGGTTGCATGTCGAGAGAATTAGCGTTAGTGGGGATCAACTATTTAGGCATTATAGATGGAGTAGGATTTTCTATCATAGCTTGCCCTAGAACTAGTTAAGGGTTTCAATGGTGTAAAAGTTTTCAAAAATCCTAAAAAGGTGCTGAAACAACACCCCTATAATATAACATGATCAAACGGAGCGATCGAAAAAAGTACAACTTTATGTGTCCTAGACAAAGAAAAAGTAGTTTAATATATGTTTATGTCGAGGTGAACTGAAATGCTTGTTTTTTCGCCGAGGACACATAAATGCATATTTTCAGAATCCCTGCATTGAATCATCTTATTACATTAGGGAGATGCTCCACTATTTATTTCATATATTTTTATAACTTTTAAACTGCTAAAAGCTTAGCGAGCCTAAATAAATTCTGTAGCAAGCTATGATAGACCGAGTTTTACGTTATAGATTATAGATTATAGATACAAAGTCTGCAACAAAAAAGTGTCTACGATGTTACTGTGCGCACTGTTTCATTTTTAAGCTGTCACTGCGTTTTTGCTAGTACAGTAAAGTTTTGAACTGTTCTGCTAGGTTGCTGATGCCTGATGGAATCATGCATGCATGCATGGATGGGCAGCACTGCAGCTGTGGGGACTTGCAGCCGGAGCACGGAGGCAAATTTCATGTTTTGACCCTTTTCTGAAATCTGACCCTAGTTTGAAAGTTTTTCGAGATCTGACCCTTTTGCTACCGCCAGGGTCCATGGCGGTAGTGTGCAACAGCCTACCGTCAGGGACCTTGGCGGTAGGAAACATCCCTATCGTCAAACAGACTGGCGGTAGCCTGTACAACCCTACCGTTAAGGTGTTCGGCGATAGGCACGAGCACACACTGTGTTCAACACTTACAAGGAATTTGCGGTAGGCCATGCAACCCTACCGCCAGGGACCTTGACGGTAGGCTGTTATACCCTACCGCCATACAACCTGGCGGTAGCAAAATGGTCATATCTTGCAATTTTTTCAGACTAGGGTCAGATATCGAATAGGTTTTAGAAAAGGGTCAAAACACGAAATTTTGCCTCAGGACGGAGCGGCTGTGAGTAAGCAGTACTTCCGGCTGTGACTGTGAGGGTAGCAGGCGGAAAAGCTTGGGAGAGAGACAGTGTGATGGAACCGATCGATGGCGGGTTGCCGATTCAACTGGAGTGTCCCTTAAAGCGGCCTCTGCTGCTCCTCGTCGTCGCTCGCAACCAACCACTGGGTGCGGGTGCGGGTGCGAGCTAGCGCCACTAGCACTCCAGCAGACGATCGATCGTGTCGCATGTATCGCATCAACTGTGCTCTGACACTGTTCGCGGCCTTTCCTTCTTCTGCCGTGCCTTTGTCGCCGGACTGTCGGTCGCCCGGCTGCAGTGATCACCTCACCTGAGCGTGCGTGCGTGAGACGGACACACGGCGGAGGGCGCCAGGGCGGATGCAATTGTTTTCGCCGATCGATCGGAGGTCGGAGACGACTGATTGGCCCGAGCGCTGGCCTGGCCACTGGCCGGTGAAGCGCCGGGCGCGGGCAGAGGCGGCTGCCGGCCGGCGAAGCGCGTGGCGCGGCGCGGCAGCGTGCATCATGGGTGCCGGGCGGGCGCGCTGGGCACTGTGGAGAGCGCGCACTGATTGCGCCTTTTTGTCCGCGCTCCGGTCTCATTTCACGTCAAATCAGGGTCGCTCGCTCGCGGGATCGATCGTCCACGGTTCGGTTCCCCCGTGCCGTCCCCTCACCCCGGTTCGCTGCCCGTCCATCCATCATTGCCCATGGATCATTGCGCTGCGCGCACCACCCTAGCCCGCTGCTGCTGCTATCAAACATCCTACACGCCACGCCATCGCCCGCCTACACGCGCGCACCGCTACTCTCCGCCGGCCGCCACCTCCGCTTCTTCCACCCATCCCGTCAAACGCAGCCTCGATCACCACCGTTATCTCCTCTTCCCCTCCTCCTCCCCTGTCCCGTCCATCACTCGTTCGCTCCTAGTAGCAGCTAGCCCCCTTTCCCAGGTGAACCTGCTTGCTAGCTTCCTGCAACCACCACTGTCAGGTGAACCAGGAGGCATGGGCGTCGTCGTCAGGTGCGTCAAGATCCTCGCGCTCCTCTCGCTCGTCCCGCTGGCGCTCAGGGCCGGCTCCCTCCTGGGCCACGTCGTCGCGCCGCCTCCATCGTCAGCTGCCACCAGGAGCGCCAGCGTCTCCGATTCGGCGCACGGCAAGACGTCGGAGGGTGCTGCTCTGGCTGCCGCGAGGTTCCGGAGCGGTGCCAGCGTAGGCGGGTTCGGCGACGACAAGAGGATGGCGCCGTCGGGGTCCAACCCGCTGCACAACCTGCGATGAGCCGTCGCCCTTTCTGCTCGCCCGCCGAACGCCGATGCATGTATGAATTCGACGAGGTTTTCTGCTCTGCTCTGCTATTGCCTCGGTAGTAGCTTCTTCTTCTTCGTATGATTGATTGCACGCGATGATGTATACTACTACAACATATAGTACTATATATATACGTATTACCGCACAAAACTCATCGTCTGTCATGTCAAGCATCAAGGCTTTGTACGCCGGAGCTTGGTGCCTGAACTGAACTATTTCTGCTGTGCAATCCATGTGTTCCAGGGAGAATCCTTCATTCACAACTATGAAGGCTGAAGCTGTCAAAAAATTGCTTCTCATTTCCTACAAGAAAATAGCCAAAGCTCTGTACTGATCTCTTACCATTTCAAACAAGTGTTCATTTCTCGCAACTAATTGACGAGTTCTCCTCTCTACTCTCCCAGTGGATTGCTCAGCCATCGATTCCATGCATTGTCACACCACAGATAGGGACTTGTTGTGTGCAAGGAACAAACTAATGGCTTTTGTTTCTCTTCACAAAATGACCATAAACCTGTACTACATGATTACAGGAACCTTTTCGAAAAAAAACATGATTACAGGAAACCAATTCCAGAATCCTACGTATCAGTATATAGGAACAAACTAACCGACATGTAAATCAAGATCACACTGGCCATGATCAGCAATACTATATGGCATCTTCATCTCGCGGTAAGCTTTGTGACACAATAGTTTAGTTAGTTTCAAGTGTTTCCCTTTTCGCTGTTGTCTCTTGTGCTGAGAAGAAACGGAATGAGAGCCAATGATATCATCAAGGAGGAAACATCCGAATACCCTGACTGACATTCTCCATGCCTGTCCTACCTTACAATCATGGTGTCTTAGAATCAGCCATCCATTCCCTGCCGAAAGTGCGCCGCAAGCAATGCAAATACTCCAACCAAAGGAAAACAGAAACACCCGACACTAATTGTTTCACAAGAGAACACTAATTCTGCAGCCTCTACTGATGAATGACACGCATCAGTTTATTCTCTTCGACCGGGAACGAGACAAAGGCAGGCAGCAGAGCTGCAGTAGACATTACAGACTGACACGAGGAAGAACAGAGCTGAGCTAGCTAGCTACCAGCTAAACAAAACAAACCAAAGCGCTACTTGTCCTACTGATGATCTGTGGAAGGACGGACTGAAAATACCTCGCCTGGGTAGGTAGGTCAAACTATATGGATGGGGCTACTCCTTGGCTCCGGCCGGCTCGTCGACGACGACGGTGATCCTGCCCTCGTCGAGCAGGCTGTAGAACTCGCGGGTGCGGCGCTGGTTGCTCCAGTGGTGCAGTTTCCACAGGTACCCCGCGAAGAGCCCCAGGCTCATCCCGTACACGATCTCCCTCACCACGCTCGGCGGCAGTGGACCCTTCATTCTCGCCCCCGCCGCCGACGCTGCCTGCGTCGCCACCTTGTGCGCAGTCGTCGACATGGCCGGCTCCTGCTACCTCCTCTTCTCCTGCGTATGTAGCCGCTTTGCAACAAAGCGTCAGAGTAAGGGAGATGCTTTTGACGAAGCGGAAACGAGTGTGGCTGCCCTGCGGTGGACGGGTGGAGGCGCCGTGTGGGCCGAGGTGGCGGGCGCGTGGCGAGCTCGTGCGACGCGTGGGTTAGGCTGGTCACAATGGGAAGGAACTGAGGAGTAACATCACACACTCCAATACAACTTTGCTTATGTGGCACATATTTAATGAAGAGAGAGGTGTTTGTGGTAACTAGCTAAGTTACCGAAACATCACATACTTCAAGAAACAATGAGTCTATAACCTAATAAATACATCGTTACATGACACTACATAGATGTTCCTACCCACTATGGAGGTAGTAACATAGTCAAGGAAAGTGTGTAAGTTACTAGCTTATGTTCTTGCCCATTGTGACTAGCCTTAGGGACGCCGTCATACGCGGGACCTCCTAATCCGCGCGTAGGGCTTTAAATGGGCCGGGCCAGGTAACGGTTCAAGTCTCAGCTAATTTATTCTCTTGCCTAAAAAAAACTAATGTTGCTAAAAAAACAATTTACTCCCTCCTGTCTAGTTTGAAGGGTCAATCTGAAAAATCAGAAAACTTCTATTTATAAGACTCATTGTCTTGGAAATAGACTAATATAGCCATGTCCACAATGAATGATGTCAAAATTTTGTTTTCAATGTAGAATCAATCAATGCATACAGTAAACAAAACCGACCGAAGGAGTAGCATTTAAATAAGCCTTCCTTGGTTGATGTGATTTACAACATGGGCCCAATAAACTCGAAAGGAGGGAGTTGCAACAATTTTTTTGGCCTTTTATCAGAGAAGGTTTCTAGAAACTAAAATAATTTCTAAAAAATTCAAATATGTTCACAAACTTTTAAAAATGATCCTGAATTTCAAAAAGTTTCTATACTTTTTTTAAATCCTAGAATTTAAATATGTTTGTGAATTTTTAAAAAAGATTATTACTCCCTCTGATCTGAATTAATTGACGCAACCTCTATACAATGTGAAATGAAAATTGTATAGATGCCATGTCAATTAATTTGGATTGGATGAAATTTCAAAAGTACATGTGCCAAACCTTAATCTTCACCATCAGATGTGGGTCACCAATTACGGCTGGTGCACCAGGCCACAACGACCCAACTATTAATTGGCGCTACGGTCTTAACCAAGTAGCAGTGGGGCGTGGTGTGTGACTACACGGTGGGCCTCACCCAATCTGTTTTTTTTGCCGTCAGACTTATTTCACTTTAGTTCAAAATCAGAGTGTAGTCTATCACTTGCTTGAGTTGCTAACTTACTACGTTACCAGACCCTCGCTCTCCTCCCTCTGCAACCGTGCACCACCACCATTGGAAGCCACATGCGCCACCACATAGAGACTCTGAGAGCTCCATCATAGTGAGCAGACTATTTTTTGAGGACATAATTTTTTTACTTTGTGTTGAACTGGCCACACCATTGAACCGCCTTTGAGATATTCTAATCGCCGTTTCTGATCTTAAACCTAATAGAAATCTTAAGCTCGTGTGACACCTCAGTGATAACGGAAAGCGTAACAAGGAGGACATGTACACTATTATGATCTAGTTGCACAAAACTATACAAAAACACCGCGTTGCAGCCTTCCACTACATGAACATGTATAATCATATGTTCAAATAACATAAGAGTGATCGATATGTGAAATTTTTTCTCTAAAGTCAAGAAGTGTAAGCCAAAAGTTACATTCGAATCGAGGATGGAACCATGTAGTCTACTTACTCCTAAGTTTTTCATGAGACTATGTCGGATCCAAACACATTTTGGATCCATGAAAAAATAAAATATTTGTTTTTATACTAATATTTTATAGTTACTTAAAAATATCATACTGCACTTTAATGAGTTAATTTTTTATTACTTAGCAGATATAGTTAACCACATGACATTGTTGCTAAGTTTTACTTACATTGCTTGTTGTTATACATTCATATTCTATATCATTGGATTTTTTTTGCTCATGTTAAATTTAATCTATGTACTCAAAAAAGTCTTTTTGAGTTAATTTGACAACTGCATAAATTATATTGTGTACACATCTATGGTTGTGTGTGATATTTTAGTACTATTAAATATCATGGTGGAGATCTCCGTACAATGCAACTTATCTCATAATAGTTGTTTCTAGTGTATTAGTATTAAGGAAGTAGAGATGTAGAAATATAAATTTAACTATTGGAAAATGTGTCTTGCGAGTTGTGTTCATAATACATTGGTGACATGTGCATGCTCCCTACTTAGTATTGAAATAATATCACTTCTCTAATCATTGGTAAACATGAAGATTTCATTTATCCTGCTTTTGCATACCAGGATTTGATTATTCGATATGGTCGTCTAGAATGGCTTGATTTGATGTATACAAAAGCTCTTGCTAGTTTCTTCAAACAAAATTTGTGCACACAAGTAAAGATTCAACTTGCCTTGTAAACATTCGGGCAGGCTGAATAAGCTTTGGAAGCAGTCCAATTCCAAGAGATGGAGTCTTCTTCATCGGGCAAAAGAGTGATGTTCTGGACTGGACATATGCCACAGGTAGAGCAATTGCCATAACTGATTTCGTTAGTGATATGGGAAAACTTTTCGTCCACTGCTGGTTCATGAGGGCATGCGCAACAAAGCTCTTCTTCTTTGAGATTAGATGGAAGAGGTTCGAGACAATGAAGCAGAGCGATCGACTTTCTAACCGGTGACCAGACTAGCAACTGACCTAGCGACCGTTGCCAAGATTGATCAAGGTGGGCACATCGAAGAGGCGGATATCATCCTTATCACAGGGGTCACCTGCCCACCCAGGTCATGCAAACCATTTCCAACGCAGCCAAAGGACATGGCCAAGGTGCTTAGGCTTGCAAAGTGGGGTTGCTAGGGCTATGTGTTACCTGTTCTTAGACGTATTAGGCCTCACCTACATTGCTGTGGCTACTCGGCTGATCCAAATACTATAGTTGCACACCACTTTTTTAATTGTTTTTATTGGTTTTTCAGTGTTCTGTATCAGTTTCTTTGGTACCTCTACGGATTTCTTTGGGGGTTTCCTTTTCCTTTTTTCTTTGGTTTAATTTTGTTTCTTTCTTTTCCCTTTTTAATACATGCCTAATTCTTTCATACACATCTTACATGTTTCGTACACATCCAAAATATTTTTAGATATGTTTAAATTTTTTGAATACATGATTAACATTTTTAAATATATGCTTTGATGTCTATTTTTCTTCATGCACATTGTACTTTTTTTAATACATATAAAATACATACTCATGTATATAATATGGCAAAAAAATGATCATGTATATAGGGATCATGTCTGAGACAAGTAGACCAACTTTTGCCTGCATCTACTACTATTACTCCACATATCGACCGCTATCCATCATGCATCTAGGGTATGCATCTAGGCTATTAAGTTAATAATAATAGAGTAATGCCTTAAGCAAAGATGACACGATGTAGACAAAGTAAATCAACTAATATGAATAAACCCCGCCATTTTACCTTTAATGACTGACAACAATACGAATACATGTCTTGTCCCTTTTTGTCACTGGGATATAGAGCATCGCAAGATTGGACCCATCACAAAGCACCTCTCCCACTGAAGATAAATTAATCTAGTTGGTCAAACCAAACAGGTAGATCGGAGAGAAACACGAAGCTATAACAATCATGCATAATGAAGCTAAGAAAATACTCAATTACTTCTCATGAATATTCAGATCATAAACCCACAATTCATCATATCCCAACAAACACACTGCAAAAGATGATTACATGGGATATAACTCCAAGAACATAGAGGAGTACATGGTATTGGAGATCAAAGAGAGAGAAGAAACCATCTAGCTACTAACTATGGACCCGTAAGTCTGTGTTAAACTACTCACACATCATCGAAAGGCAGCAAAGATGATGTAGAAGCCCTCCGTGATTGATTCCCCTTCTAGAAGAGTACTGGAAACAGTCTCCAGATGGGGTCGCCGAAGAACATAAACTTGTGGCAGTGGAAAAAGTGTTTCGGGTGGCTCTCCGTTGGTTTGGGAATATTTCTGAATTTATAGAGGCGGAATTAGGTCAAGACGTGTTATGGGGGGCGCACAAGCTCAAAGGGCGCGTCCTACGAGCTTGTTGCTCCCTCGTAGTTCTTCTGGACTCCTCCTGAACCTTTCAATGTCCCTTCCGGTCTAGAAAAAAATAATCAAAAGATTGTTTTTCTGTTTGAACTTTGTTTGATATTGATTTTCTGAAAAAACAAAAAACAGAAACTGCACTGTGCACTGAGTTAATAGGTTAGTCCAAAAAAATGATATAAAATTACACATAAAACATTCAAGATTGATATTATAACATGGAACAATAAAAATATATAAATATATTGGAGACGTATCAGCCACAGGCAAGGAAAGCACAACGCGAAGGGGGCACCAACGCGAACAAGTCGACCCCATTACTTGTGCAACACTGGGCGTAGTCCACCTCCGCTGATCAGATTCACACAGCCCGCCGCAGCCAGCCAGCCTCACAACGACGACCTGGACCTTCTCATCGCACACCATCAACAGTAAATCCGCCCCAAGAAGTGCCACCATGCCGGGAGTGAGCCCCCACCCGAATCCACTCAGATCCCGCACGAGTTCGTCCCAGCCTGCGACCCGCACGTAACTTGACGATGAAAAAGATAAACAATTAGTATGTAGGAAACAAATTTCAGAATCACCCAGTATGTGGATGGTTTTATTCCGAAGAAACTGACATGCGCACAGTCGGTGAATCGAGAGAAGTAAAAGATTAATGAGTATGAATTTGTATATCTGTAAAAATAAGTTTGTTGCGAAACAAAATCATGTCCCACAGTTGCGAATCCAGAATCATGTGATGAGTAAGTTCAGTAACATCTAAATCATCCACACA